ATTCTTTTGTACTCAGTCCATCTGAAGTTTTTGTTTTGATAATATAAAATTCTTTGAGCTCTTAAATAATGGGTAATTTGGTTTATGTTTGATAATACTGTGCCATAACAAATAAGTAATATCATGAAAAAATAATACCAAGATTCATCTTCTGTTTTGAAGGATTAACATTCTCTAATACTTGGATCTTTCATTTGTTTATTTAACAAACCTTAAATTTTTTTTAATTTTTTTTTTAACAAACCATAAATGTATGCATACTTAACACTTTACAGACATTAACATCTTTAACTTCATCTTTATAACAACCTTATGAAGATAGAGGTACTATTCTTATTCTCATTTTACAGATGAGGAAAGTAAAACAGATATTAACTACCTTGCCCAACAGCTAATTAATGATAGAGGCAGCTTTTGAACTCAGGCACTCTGGCTGTAGAATTTATGCTCTTAACTACTGCCCCGTGCTACATGTTTTTCGATTTTTAACTTAGGTGTGAACATTGAATTTGAATTATAGTAACATGGTAAATTAGATTACAGAAAAATGTCCACTACCTAGATGATAAGGGATCATATGTCTTTCATCTTTGTGTATTTACATCAAATCTTAATTTAAGGAAGAACAAAGAGAAATATTAATTGTGTAAAGCCTCAAAGTATGACTGATTCTGGAAAAGTCATACCTTTAGCTCCTTTAATTGAGCATTTTAGACAGGAGCTAATATTTTTGACAAGAATTAGGAGAAATCATATGTTTAATTTCTAGACCTTGACAAATGCTGAAGAGTTTACATTGTTCATAAGGGTTCTCAAATCTATGTTATACAGCTGGAAATCACATTTTGTGGGTGAGGGTGTGCCACAGACTCTCCAGCTCTCGTACAGTTTTATTGAATCATGTTTTGATATTTTTAAAACTTTTAAGATTCATGCCACATACTATGCTGTTAATCAAAATCTGTTTTAGGAACATCAATAAAAAATAGCTTGAAGGAATTATTTCGGACTATTTTATTACACGCTTTGATAGTATATAGCTCTGATCTTTACTTTTATTTTGAGTGGTATGTCCAAACTTATCTGAGTACTGTACATATAGAAATTAGAAATCATGTAGAGATTTTTAAGAACCACAAGTTTTATGTGAAATGGAAAATCTGCCTTGAAGGTTAAAGTTGAATACCATTGAATTAATTGAATATTTTTATATTTTACTATGCAAAATTTGATTGATTCTAGGAGCCACTAAAAGTGAAAAAGAACAGATGTTTTGTTCATGGACTGTAAAAACTCGTTCCAGCCCCTTTCTTGTCACACATCCTTCATGTATTTCTGAACTGTTTTGTTGTTTTTATTCTCAGACTTCTAAAGGCTTTTCTTGAACTTGGAGTAACTTACTCTATTACATCTCAAAAATGGAAAAAATAAATACTTCCTTATACAATTTTGCTTTTTTCCAATTTTTTTTTTTGAGACAGAGTCTCACTCTGTTGCCTGGACTAGAGTGCCATGGCATCATCCTAGCTCACAGCAACCTCAAACTCCTGGGCTCAAACGATCCTTCTGCCTCAGCCTCCCAAGTAGCTGGGACTACAGGCATGCGCCACCATGCCTGGCTAATTTTTTCTATATATTTTTAGTTGTCTGATTAATTTCTTTCTATTTTTAGTAGAGACGGGGTCTCGCTCTTGCTCAGGCTGGTCTCGAACTCCTGAGCTCAAACAATCCACCCGCCTCGGCCTCCCAGAGAACTAGGATTACAGGCGTGAGCCACCGCGCCCGGCCTGTTTTGGTTATTTTTTGTTCCTTTAAGTGTTTTAGGGCTTTGTTCTCAAATGCAGCTAAGTTACTCAGAAACAATTTTTTCATTTCAAAGCTTGCTTTTCAGTTTGTTAGGTGGGTCCAGAACAGCTAATTTTGTCCCACAACTGAGGATTATACTTGTTATCCTGTATGTTCTAAGGTCATTCCACTCTGACTGGTGGGAACCACACTATTCCTGGCCCTGTGTGATCTCTGGGTGTTGTTCGAACCTGTCTTTTCTGGTAGTCATTTTCCCTGGTGTCCAATAGTTCTCTGATGCACACGTGCTGATCAAAACTCAGCTGAAGATTTGAGGGCAACCCTTGGCAGATCTCTAGAGTACTCTTTCTCCGCAGTGCTTTCCTCTTCAGTAATCTGCTCCATGAATTCTAGCCACCTTGACCTCTCAACTCTTGTCTTCTCAAATTGGGAAGACAACCAGGCTGTTTGGGTAGCTGCTACTTTCACTGCAGCCTGGAAACTCTCCAGGCAGTAAGTTGGGTCAATCATTTCTGTCCTCAGGAATCACCATCCTGTACTGCCTGTCTATAAATGCTGTCATTTCAGAGAGTTTTTTTTTTTTTTTTTTTTTTTTAAGTTATTTGAGATAGGGAAATAAATCTGGTCTGTGTTATTCCATTAACAGCCAGAAGCAAAAGTGAGTCCACAATATTTCTTTTAATCGCGTATTTGAAAACAGCATATGGTTGAAAGTCATACTTTTTTTTCTTGGTGCTTGCTTTAAAAATCGCCTATAAAGTTCAAATATTATTTGTCGACTTTAAAAATAAAAAATCACAGGTTGACCACTAATGGAGAAAAAAGTAAACTTTGCTATTCAAGTACTTGATATTGTAGAATGGTATATATTTATCCATGTATTTGGTATATGAGCATATTATGTATTTGATGTTAACATTTTAAAATTACTTGATAAGCTTATCAAAAAATTAATTTTTTATAGACTGAAAGTAACCATGACACTGCGCTAACGCTTGCCTGTGCTGGTGGCCATGAGGAACTGGTACAAACACTGCTAGAGAGAGGAGCCAGTATTGAGCACCGAGACAAGAAAGGTACTGCCTACTTTTATTTTACTTTTTGGAGTATTGGTGAAATTTTAAGTATTTAGAAATATTACTTCTTAGCCTTATTTTAATGCTTAAATATATTGGAAAACAGTATCGTTCGTTTGCTTAGCATGTAGTAAGAAGATCGTTATTTTTCTTCAGGTTTCACTCCACTCATCTTGGCTGCTACGGCTGGTCACGTTGGTGTTGTGGAAATATTGCTGGACAATGGTGCAGACATTGAAGCCCAGTCAGAAAGAACTAAGGACACACCACTGTCCTTGGCTTGTTCTGGGGGAAGACAGGAGGTAACGTTTCCTCTTAGTGTAATTTTTTTCCTCTCTTTGTATCAGAACAGGGGTTTGATATTGAGATTTGTCACAGTAACTGAAACTATTATATACTAGCAAAAAGACAAGTATCATCGTTAGCATAAGCTGTCTTGCCAGAAAAATCACACATTGTTTAGGATCCTGCTCATCTAAAAGTCGTATTGCCATAGGAATCCTCGTGTATTCTAAATCGAGTCTTTCTTTTAGTCTAAGTGCATTTAGGGTTAGAGAAATACTAAGACATTCCAAATTTCTTATGTGCAAGGCCTGTATTCACTCGTCTTTTCCTGCCCTAGAGTACATGGCATAAAAAGTACTTAAGCCCAGTCTCTGTTGTTCTCTGTAAGATTGGTAGGGAATTAAGAATATTGCATTTTTATTTAGTCTGAGAACTCCTCCTTTGACTTTCCCCACCATTTTTCAGCTCTCTGGAGGAAAGGTTCTCAGATAAGATTATAAGATTATGTGACCTTTTGGTTTTTTTAAGGAAGTTAAAACAACTGATATAGATGAGGTGGGCCCAAAAAAATACAGCTTTACACTCACTTGTGTGTCTTCTGGCATTTAATAATTAGCTGGATAATCTAATTTTTCCAAATCCAATGCTGTGTGCAGGGGATATAAAGTTTAATAAGCCAATTGGGCTGTCTCCATTGATTAACAACTTCTCAATCAGGGAGTTATTGAATCTTAGATTTAGAAAGCACTCTACATCATCCAGGTCAGTTTCCTACTCAGCTGAAAGTCTTCTTTTTCTTTACTTTCTTTTTCTTTTATAAAGTTGTCCTATTTATCAAGCCTAAAGTATGCCTTCCCCATGTTTCCCACTGTTCCTAGTTCTGTTCTTTGAACAAATGGAAACAGGTTTATACCCTCTTCTATCTTTAGATATTTGAGTCTGTGTTCCCCAAAGTCACCTATTCTCTGTGTGAAACTAGTCCTATTTCATTGTTAGCTTGAGAATTTGTTTTCCAAACCCTTTACTATCCTGGCTATTACACCCTTATGTCAGTATCCCTCCTGAAGTATTATATGTAAAGATACTCTGACCAGCAAACTGGTGAATTATTACCTTCTATTTAAACATCTTAAACTAGCTTTCTCCCCACCCTTTGTCAGTTCTGTAGCACACCAAGTTATATTGAACTCTAATCAGTTAAACCTACTAAGGTTTTTAAATTAAGGAGTAAATAAAAAATT